CACACACACACACACACACACACACACACACACACACACACACACACACTATTTATATTTTTCCCTTCTGTCATTTTTACGTTTGTTATTATTATTTGAATTTATCATATTTCTTTGGTAATTAATTTAATATTAACATAGTAAAATAAGTCCTTATGTAAAAACTTTCTGCACTGATAACCACAACTCAGGCCTAGCCTTGTGTGGTTGTTATGTATCACAATATTATGTTTTCGACAATTAAATAAATGTTTTTGTATATTTTTTTGTAATTTCATGAATTTCATGTAATAAAAGCACTTTAGACGTATGCTCACATGTGACTTTATTGTAAAATTTGTGTTAGCCAAAGGTACATATTCCTCTAGATAGACTCGCTTAAATCAATATTTAACGGATTACTATACTTATCCGAAAATTTATCTGGTTCCTAGTCACGATCCTCATTTTAATTTAACGGCATGTTTAATTACACAGAGAGTTTAAATATCCACATAAACTAATAAGTAAGTTAAAAAAACCATTAAACAGCGAGCAAAAACAAAGCGCTATACAATCACAAAATACATATCATTGTATTCGACATTGATTCACTCATATCGATTTTGTAGAACAAAAGGTGATGTTTATCTATTGGCGAACTCGGCGGGCGTGACTCGGGATGAATAGAGGTTGATGGAAGAGCGATACCACATTATAGAGGTAGCATAATCGTGGTGATACCAATGGCGATACACCAGGTCGCAATTAAGTGCTGGCCAGCGATTGTTGGAACACAATGGGGAGCACTGACCTGCTTGACTCCGATATTTCTCTCTTCACGATATCGCGCCTGCTGTGCACTAGTTTAAACTATTATTTAAAGGAATTTAGAACAGTAAGCGTACTTTTATATTTATTTATATAATCTTTTTGCACAATACATGGGCATTCTCTACCAGCCAACCATAGGGCCAAATAGAATAACAAAAAAAAAGGTTGGTGCTACACATAAAACAGAAAAAATATCAAAAGGTTTATTTATACGATATATAATAAACATAATACAGCATAAACATACTTAATATACGTATATAATAAACAATACATACATAATGAATATACCTAATAATTGTTATAAATTGCTACTTAAAAATGAGTAAATCCGTCTGTCACAATCCCTATAACATCTGCTTCTTAGTCACTGTCTATGGCATAGACGTCTGGGAATCGGACATGGCAGTATATATACATACAGGATGTCCGGTAATGGCTGGATAAGCCTGATATGTCTTACAGTAGAGCTTAAGACTGTTAAAAAAAGACTTGTATATTCCAAGTAGTTCCCAATATATGTTTAATTTTTACCTTTTTTTACGTTTTTCAAAACCACGATAACAAATGAATAAATTCGTTCAGGTTTTGGTAGTTTAATATTTTGCATTAAGCTGCGCCCTTAAATAGATAATAAATAATATGACTTAACGTGTGCTTTTTTTTTTCAAATAAGAAAAAATATAATAACTCGAACGGCCACCTAACGTATTCATTCGTTTGTGTTCGTGGGAAACAAAAACGTATTTTAAAGAAATGTGAAAGGGTTGTAATCCTAACTAGCCGTGAACAGGTTCACGGCAATGAAATGAAACTTCCGGTCCACAAAATTTATTAAAGAAGTAAAGTTTAAAGAAAGGGCTGTAGACTTATAAATTATTACACATGATTTAACTTATTTAATGATTACAAACGTAGTAAAGAACCAGAATTAGCGATTATTCGCGATGGAATTTGGAACAGCTCCGACTGTTGTGGCGGTCGAGCTGGGAGTAACCGTGGTACGAAAACAAAATGAGAAAGTGAAGGAAGGTGGAACGTTCAAATTTAAAATTTAAATACATGTAAAATAAAAAATGATAGGATACAAGCGGAGAGAGGCGAAACGAAGAGGTGAGACGACGGTGTAAGGAGATCACACCGACACAAATGTATATAAAAGAAACATTTTAAAGAAAAAACCTTATCATGAGCACTACTTGGAATATATTAGTCTTTGTATTTTCTTTTAACAGTCTTATGCTATACTGTAAGGCATTTCTGGCTTATCCACTATTTACCGGACACTATTTATTATTGTTGGATACACAATTATACAAATCCATAACATACACTAGTCAGCCGCGATTATAGGGCTTGTAAAGGGCCCGAACGTTGGTTCGTTTGAAAAACTAATGCAATGTATATCAGAAAAAATAGTTTCATTTCCAATGTATAACAATCGAGGAAACCTAAAAACTCGGTGTAAACGAGTCGTTTGTTGAGGCTATTGTTATCAACAGCGGTTTGTTTCTTTGCAAGATCAGTATACTCACTTTCATAACACTATTGTTTATTATTTTTTGCTATTTTCATTGCTACTACAATCGGATTAGGTATTATATATTATCAATTTATTACCATTAACGTGATAATTACCATTTCATTACGGCTGTATATTTTTAATAGTGTTGACTAAAAGAAGACATCTACTGATTTGTTTTTACATTCTTTGATCCTCACTGTTACTTTCTTGTGAAGAAGTAATTTATGTTTACAAGAATAGTATTTTTTCCTGATGAGGAATAAAACTAAGCTGTCTGTTCTTGACAAGAGTCTTCACAAAGTCACAAATTCATTTAAGAAGCAATAAATACGCTTCTATAATAAGATTACCTTTCATGTTCAAATTTACCATTAACGTGATTTAAAACCATAACGAAACAAACACTTTTTTTATAGTACCAAGCGGTGTGGGACGAACAATTCATGCGCCTGGGTGTAAGTGTCAACGCCTATCCTTAACAGTTGCAGTGCCATTCGGAGTTTTAAATCGCAAAGATCTTAGGACCAGTGCGTCCGTCATGCTGAGATATAAGTTGACAAGTGCCATTTGCCTGTATTTTACCAGCACCCTTACCGGAATGCAGTAATGCTCACATTACTGCTTGGCGGCAGAAATAGCTAAGGTGGCAGTATTTCCCTGGACGAACTCTTTAACTCTTATAGAACTTGTTAATTTATGTCTCAGGGTGACGGGAGCAGTGGCAGTGACGGTCAAATCTTTGTCATTTAAAGAAAGGTAGATTTAGAACTTGAGAATCAATCACAAAACGATTTAATTAATGAATCCTACTTAAGTATTCGTCCTAATTAAGTACCTAACAATTGCAGCATTAGATAGAGTTAAAATTATATTGTTTGTTAGTTGACTAACATATTTACTTATATTTATTTCAAATATAAGTACTATATTTGAAATAAATATTA